CAGCACTTGTATCACATGTGCACAGTACAGTATAAAGAGTACACACACACACACACACACACATGTACGTCATTTTACATAATGAATAAAACTTAATGCTAAACCATTCATATAATAATGAAGTCAGGTCAGGTCAGGTCACAACTTACGCCAAGTGCCCAGTTATTAGTGTAATGACGGCTAACATGGGTTGGCTGCAACATATGTGTAAACACCTGTCTGGTTCATGGGTTGACTGTAACATATGTGTAAACACCTGTCTGGTTCAAGGGTTGACTGTAACATATGTAAACACCTGTCGTGTGTGTTAAGGGTACTCGCGGGACTGAGCCTTAAAGCACAGCAAACACAAGAGAACCGGAGAAAATTGTTTGGTTATTTTTTGCTGTGAGTCAGTGAACATTAGTACAGGTGAAGTGTGTGTGTGTGTTATGTCAGGTGTTCATATTGTGTGTGTGTGTTATGTCAGGTGTTCATATTGTTCTTCACTTAACCTAACACTGGCTAGGTTAGGTTAGGTTAGAAGTTATATTCTTCTTGTATTACTTGTTGAATTTATGAACAAAATATTTTCGTGTGTGTGTGTGTGTGTGTGTATTTTGGATCATCATCATCATCATCAAGAGAGAGAGAGAGAGACACTATACCATGGCTTCATAATATTGCCAATAACAAAGCAGTGATCATAACAGATTAACTCATTAATTATCTATTTGGTTAATTGAACGGCAGTACACAGGTGTAGAGACAGGTACAGGTGTAGAGACAGGTACAGGTGTATAACAGTTTACAGTGGTCATAGGTGAACCACACACAAAGAACTATATAAATTTAGATTTTGTTACAGTCCCCCACACACACCAATCATGTGTCATTATGGCCGGGTCATCTGTGAGTCACCACCTGTAACATGCAACCAGGTCAACCCTCCCCCCTCACGAGAGAGAGAGAGAGAAAACCACACAACATCAACACACATTACCACATCACTCACTGTTTCACCACCAACATTCGATATGAGAAGTTAACCCATAAACACTATTGGAATCACAACTGGTTTTAAGTTTTCATTTGAACATTAAAACAAATAAAATATTATCCAGTGAGATATAAAAGTCAGGCTCAGGTATAGCAAATAAGAGTTACGCATTTTTTATTTTAATATTTGACATTTAATCTTATTTTTATAAAAGGGTAAAAAAAGCGAATATGAACGTGAAATGATTTGATTCCGAGTTATTTTTGGGTAGTGAGCATTAGTGTGTTAATATTATCCCCAGTGGGTGTATGTCCCCCAGGGGTGTATGTCCCCCAGTGGGTGTATGTCCTCGTGGTCCCAGGGTGTATGTCCCCTCAGCGGGTGTATGTCCCCAGGGGTGTATGTCCTCAGCGGGTGTATGTCCCTCGTGGGTGTATGTCCCCAGGAGTGTATGTCCCCAGGGTGTATGTCCCTCAGGGGTGTATGTCCCTCGTGGTGTATGTCCCCAGGAGGTGTATGTCCCCGGGGTGTATGTCCCCAGGGGTGTATGTCCCCCAGGGGTGTATGTCCCCTGTGGGTGTATGTCCCCAGGAGGTGTGTCCCGTGATGTCCCCAGGGTGTATGTCCCCAGGGTGTATGCTGTCCCCAGGGGTGTATGTCCCCAGGGTGTATGTCCCCAGGAGGTGTATGTCCCCGGGGTGTATGCCCCAGGGTGTACGTCCCCAGGGGTGTATGTCCCCAGGAGGTGTATGTCCCCAGGAGGTGTATTGTGTCCCCCGGGGTGTATGTCCCCAGGGTGTATGTCCCCGGGGTGTATGTCCCCAGGAGGTGTATGTCCCAGGAGTGTATGTCCCCAGGGTGTATGTCCCCAGGGGTGTATGTCCCCAGAGGTGTATGTCCCCAGGGGTGTATGTCCCCGGGGTGTATGTCCCCAGGAGGTGTATGTCCCCGGGGTGTATGTCCCCGGGTGTATGTCCCCAGGAGGTGTATGTCCCCGGGGGTGTATGTCCCCAGGGGGTGTGTCCCCAGGAGGTGTATGTCCCCAGGGGTGTATGTCCCCAGGGTGTATGTCCCCAGGAGGTGTATGTCCCGGGGGTGTATGTCCCCAGGGGTGTATGTCCCCAGGGTGTGTCCCCAGGGGGTGTATGTCCCCAGGGGTGTATGTCCCCAGGGGTGTATGTCCCCAGGTGTATGTCCCCAGGGGTGTATGTCCCCAGGGGGTGTATGTCCCCAGGAGGTGTATGTCCCCAGGGGGTGTCCCCAGGAGTGTATGTCCCCAGGGGTGTATGTCCCCAGGAGTGTATGTCCCCAGGAGGTGTATGTCCCCAGGGGGTGTATGTCCCCAGGTCCCCAGGGGTGTATGTCCCCAGGGGTGTATCCCCGGGGTGTATGTCCCCAGGTGTATGTCCCAGGGTGTATGTCCCCGGGGTGTATATCCCCAGGGTGTATGTCCCCAGGGGTGTATGTCCCCAGGGGTGTATGTCCCAGGGGTGTATGTCCCCAGGGGTGTATGTCCCCAGG